CAGCAGGGACCGTTGCATAGCTCTGTGGTTGAAACGATTGCCCCCCGGGGAAATGGCGCGGTGTCGGTTCAGAGGACTGCCGTCGCGGAGCGTTTGAATACACGCCGCCTTGAGCGCCAGGGCTTATCGTTTGCGGCAGCCCTTGTGCCTGTGTCGCGTAAGCGGGGTGACGGAGATTTTCGACGACTGGGCTCGTGGCCGACAGTTGTCCGTTCCGCCAGTGCATTTGCCCGGGATGCGCTGTTGGCTGGGTTGGCTGGGGTTGCTGGGGCGGCGCGCTGAATGCTGTCGGGGATTGAAAGAATTGAGGCGAGCTGACGGTCAGCGGGGGATGCCAAGAAGTCCCAGAGATCGGTCCGTTCTGGCCGGGAACCGGGCGCCTCACGGACATCACCCAGGCGCGATACTGGTTAACCACCCCCTGGCTCCTGGCTTCGAGATACTGCCAGCTGTAGCTGCCATCAACTTGCAAGTCCGGAGAACTCATGGCTTCCTGCTGATCCTGGGCAAACACAACATCCATTGCCTCGCCCACCCGGTCATCTATGACGCCGAGGCTTCTCCTATTCGCGGTGAACAGGAGCTTCTGCATGATGGCGGATCGACACCCAAAAAAGCAGATCATTTCGCTCACCAGCAGGGGACGATTTTGCGAAAAAGCCACGTGAACCATTGACTCCCAGTTGATGGCCAGGTTATTGACGAATTTAGCCCATGGCTCTGTGATGGCTGATGCTAGGGGTCCGGGAAAAGAGGCAAAGAATTGGAAACTGGCCGGCGCGAGGTTCTGGTTGCCTTCAAGGATCTTCGCCAGTATCCCAAATGTTTTGTCGATGACCGATCGTTGTATCCTGCACGCGTCTGAGAGAGGGGCCAGTTCGCCTCGCGACCAGGCGCAAAATGTTTGGTGGATGTGGAGGAAGGTGAAATCGCCTTTGGTGTGCGCATCAGTCACCAACCTCATCCTCGAGCGGTCGAGACTTTTGGTCATGTACCGGAAGATCGTCGAGAGGTGATTTTGGAGGGCGACTGTAGTCCCACCACTGGGACTCGGGGCTGGCCTGTTAAAATTAGCCCAGGCGTTAGCAAACAGGCAGCTAACAGACCGAGTGCGAATATATTGTTGCACCAGCAGAGCCAGCAGAGCAGCAGGCGGCGCGCGCTCCTGAAGTCCGGGTGCTTTTGTTAACTCACTCAATACGCCTTCTTTTGGGCAAGTTACCAGCCTGCACCTGAGGAGATTGTACCGGGGTCCTCGGCCCCAAAGGCGCCGCAGATGCCGGAGTGTTGGTCGAGGCCCCGTTTGGCGACATATGTTGTTGAGGCGGCGGTGGGAACGCGGCGTGGACGGGGGCGGGAGACGGACCGGGTGCGTGGGCAGCTACTGGCGGGCTCTGGAACCTCGAGGTATCCAAGGTGAGCATGGGCGCTGGCCTCGCTGGACTGACACGTCGGATGTTCTGAGCCTGATCGTCGATAAAGCCAGCCGCGACGCTTGTCCTGGCCTCGGTCACCGGTATGCTATGGGAGGCATCCGGGACCGGACCGGACCTTTCCATGCTCTGTGGCGCGTCGTCCGATGGCGGGTTCTGGTTTGCGCTGTCCTGCGGGATCGCGGCCGTGGGGCTCGGTTCGTCGCTAGGTGCTGGGGATGGAAGAACATTGGGGCTGGGTGCACGGTCAGCGAAATACTACGTGAATAGGACAACCCGGTCCGCGGGCATCGGACGCGGTCGCGAACGCGGCCGGGGCGCTTTAGAGATGGGGGAACAGGAGCAAGTCGCAAGACGGGGTGGAGAGCGCTTACCCAGCCGACGGGGGTTGCGGAACGTTGGCTGAGTGGGGCTGGAGTTGCGGAGGCAGACCCGGCCGTGGTTTTTGATTGACAGTTTGCTTCGTGCGAGGGTTGTTATCCATGCTGGCTGGCGCCTCCTCCCATGGCCCCGAGATATTGGTTGGCGGCGGCAACATCGGCAGCCGGCGGGGGCGATCGCGGCATGTTAGAGCGAGGGTGCGCCGACGGAGCCTGTCGCGAGGGGTTGATGTCGAGACTGGATGGCCGGCGAGGATGGCGATCGGGTCAGCGGCTTTTTGGATGTTTGGGCCGGTGGCAGGTCGCCATGAAACAAACAGTGGCGGAAGCGGCAGAAGCGGCAGCACGCGCGGGCTCGGTCTCGCGGGGCGGGGCCTACCATGGACACCCGCGCTAGGTCTCTCGGGCCGTAGCAATTCTCAAAGCCCTTTTTCTCAAGTGCTTTGGCAGGAACCAAAGTAACGGCAACGGGGGCGGCGGTGTCGATGCGATTTGCGGTCGTGGGTGGCTTGTTCCATGTGCAAGCACAAGCACGGACGACAACCGTCCAGCATCGATGCCCAAGGCCACATCCGAATGGATGAGCGTAAGTGGTGGCGGTGGGTGGTGTCAATACTTCAACTAACCTCCAAACTCGCTAGTCTATTTCTGGCAGCGACGTGGGTGCGTCGCAGCCGCCCTTGGCTTGGCTGGGGAACCAGCGACCTGGTTGGACAGTCAAGTGCGTCCTGTATCGTTCCTGCACTCCCAATTTGACGGTTTTGAGGTGATTACTGGGACCCGTGCAGCCAAATCCCCGCCTTGGAAACAGCACAAACGATCATAATGTATCCTCCGCACACCGTTCCTCGTGGCCCAAAGCTTTGCGAGGCTCCATCAAACCTTCTTGCACAACCTGTCCGAAATACCTAAGCATGTGCGCATCAAGGGCAACGGTATTCGGCCCGTTACTTGTAGGCTTTGTGCGCGAGGACGAGGGAGCGGGAGGGGTAGTGGAGTGGAAGCGCACTCGTCAATCTGGACGTCGTCCTCGTCAGACGAGTAATCGAAATCTAGAGACGGGGACTTGTCCGGCAGAGGAGGCGGCTAAACAGACCGCTAGCACGTGTGCAAACGCAATGCGCAAAGGTGGGAAGGGAGAAGCGAACGGGCGATCGCTTACCATGGTCGCGGCGCGAGCGCAAAGGCAGGTAACGGTGATAAGGGTCTGGAGAACAGTACATTGACCGCAAACCATCAATCGCCAAGGTTGCGGGCGGCACCGTTCTCGAGGATCCACTTGATTGTTTCGACGCGGCCGTGTGAGACTGCGGCCGACCAGGAGACAGAGGACCACGGGCGGCTGTGGGAGATGTGATATGTGATTGGGCCGCTGCCTGCTTATGCCTCCTGCCGCCTGTTGGCTGCTGCCTATGGTTGCTGCCTCCTCTCTTGCTTCCTCTGCACCGGATCCAATCTGCAATGTTTTCTCGGGCAACGTTCGAAGGGCACAGGGGCGGGGTTAACTCTGTCGCGTTCTCGCCCGACGGCCAAAGGCTCGCGTCGGCCTCTCTGGACGACAATACCGTTAAGCTCTGGGACGCGGCGACGGGCGCGTGCCTGCAAACGCTCAAGGGGCACAGCAGCTCGATCAACTCTGTCGCGTTCTCGCCCGACGGCCAGAGGCTCGCGTCGGCCTCTCTGGACGAGACCGTCAAGCTTTGGGACGCGGCGACGGGTGCGTGCATAACGACGCTCGATGGGTCAACTTCCACTCTATCATTTGATGACACAGGCTCGTACCTCCAAACAGATTTTGGGACTAAATTGCTACAAAAGCAACCAGCTGCTGGTCCAGCAGCGGTTCAAGCTCATTTGCAGCACCAAGATTTTGAGGGTATTGGCATCAGTGCGGATAAAGCATGGATCACCTGGAATGGAAAGCACTATTTGTGGCTGCCTACTGAATACCGTGGGCAGTATACAGCCATAGCAGGATTGACAATAGCTCTAGGCTGTTCATCCGGGCGGGTGTTGTTCTTCCAGTGGTCAGGAGCCACTTGATAGAAAGTTTTCCTTGCGTTCAATTCTCTTTTTCTTCTCTTTGCCCGTTCCCGGGTCATAGGGGACCGCGCATTTTTATAGGTTTGTGCTGCTCTTGAAGAATATGTTGGAACCGTCTAGTGTTTTCCATTAACTCATAGTGACGAACGCGTTTTGCCACCCCATTTGTTACGGCTGGTAAGGGGTCTAGCCGTCACGTAACCCTGGATTACACGCCGCACTAAATAACCCCACCTTTCACAGTGATAGGCGTGCACGCGGCACGAGGTCCGTAGGACCGGCAAACAGGTGGAAAACGTCATGAAGATGAAGTCTTCGTCTGTCGATCTGGGGAGATCGCAGCGGGTCTATCTAGGTGCCTGGAGGCCCGTGCACGGGCGGTCGACCCACAGGTCCGTGGACCTATCACACAGCCGGCCCTACGGGCCTGCACGGGAATACCATCTTTTTGCTCTTACATATACCAGACTGTGACGGCCCAGGGCAATTCCTGCATGATAGCTCCATGGACCTATCGGTCGGCCCGTGCACGGTCCTCCAGGTAGATAGACCCGCCGTCGATCCCTCCAAATTAACGGACGGTCGACTGTCATCTCGTTTTCTCTCTGATAGTATCATGGACCTGTAGGGGTGATAATTGAGGGGAGCAGAAAGATGATATATCGGAAAGACCGGCCCGCAGGGCCCGTATGCGCGAGGGCCGGATATTCCTCGTGCGGGGTCACGTGCAGTGTGGCCG